GTTTTGAAATTTTACTACATCACCTATATGATTGGTCTAGAAATCCTGCTTGAATTCTAGCTCCCGCCACAAACTATTTAGATAGTAAGGTATTGGGCAACAAATATATCACATTGCTTGGTTTCATGAATTTTTTTCATGAGCTTTTCAATAAATTAAGAAAAAAAAAGTTCAAAGGGGAGATAAGAAAACTTTAGATCATGTTTACATGTGATTTTTTTTTAATTTTTTAAAAACAAATAGGAAATAAAACAAATGTAATAAACATATTTTCTAATTAGAAATAAAAAACTTACATATAACTATCATTATTTGAAAAAAATAAAAAATAAAAATAAAAAGAAAAAATAAAACAAGTCCAAAAGATTATCCAAAAACTAAAAACCTCTGAACAGGGAAAGAAAAACTAAAGTGATATTTGGATGTTGAAAATTTTTAGTTTTTTAACAAAAAAAATCAAGAAATAGAAAAGTGAAGAAAAAATATTCAAAGATTAAAAATATTTTTTTTACAAAAACATATATTTTTTTCTTTTTTTTAAAAAATTAAAAATTACAAAAAAGTATATTTTTTTCAAATTCATTGTCATCCTCATTTTCATTTTTTCATTCCTTTAGATGCGTTTCTCAAAAAAAAAAAATGTTTTATTTATTTTTTTAGGACTCAATAATGTTGCATATTGTTTTTTAATCGTTGTTATTTCTTTTAAAAATCACATAATATTTTAATATATAGTATTTTTTATCGGCCACCCGTTAAGCCCGTGATCCATCATGAACCGAGCTCGGATAATCTTAATAGATCTAGGCCCACGAGATCGGATCCAACCTAGGATGAGCATTTGGTGGCCACAATAAACTTTTGAAAAGCAGAAAACCCTAACTCTAGGAGCGACCATCCATCTAACGGACAATATCAACCCCAAGGCACTAATCCAACCGTTAAATCTTAATAAAAAAACACTATAAAAATCCAGGCAAACACTTCAGTTTTGATTCCATCACCTGGCAGCCAGCCACCGCTTCTCTCAAAACTTCTCTGCTCCTTCTCTCTTATCGTTTTGCCGAGGTACTATCGTTCTATTTCTTTCTCGTTTATCTGAAAACATTCAGTTTTGTCTTTTGAGCCTTTTGTTGCCGATCTAGTAGGCTTTTTTAATCTTTTTTTTTCCTGATTGTTTTTGCTTTAAAACTGAAGAAGAACTAGTTTTGTCAAGCTATTTGTTATTTGCTATACGTTTATTTGATTGGTTCGTGACTGTGATTGTGTACATGCGATGGTATTTACTACTTTACATGGTGATGATTTGAAAAGAATTTTTCCCTTTATGAAAAGTGGTGAGTAATCAGGGCTGGAGTCTCAGAAATGGCTCTTTTTTGGCCGAAAACCTAAATGGGTTTTTGGAAAGAAATACCGATGAGCTTGAGAATTGGCATGATAATATGTCTGCCATAGGCCTTTGGTTTTTTCGGGGAAAAATCTTTTCTTTTCATTTGCTGGTGTTTTGTGGTTAATACCCTTGTAAGTTTACAATTCAAAGGCTTATTTTATGATACCAGGAGTGGTCCTTTCTTTTTCTTTATTTCAAATTAGTAAATCTTAATTGTAAAAAAATAACCTTTAAATCATTTGTATTCAGTTTAAGCTTATTTGTGATTAGTATTTTAGTTGTTATTATGATGATTTCAACTAGATCTATTTAATGATATTAACAGACATTTAATTTTTTGAGGGTCTTTGAAATACTGATAAAATTATTATATTTTGATAGTGATGGTCCCTATTTGTTGGATTTTATATTTATACATTTATTGAAGGAGAATCTGGATTGGTACTATTGATATTTTATTTGGATATGTTATTTTTTGTTAATATTTGATTTCCTGAGGAAAAGCAATATTGAAGCTCACGAGTCTTGCAGAGGTTATAACAAAGATAGAAGCATGTCTCATCGCAAGTTTGAACACCCTAGACATGGCTCTTTGGGATTTCTCCCAAGAAAAAGAGCCTCCCGCCATCGAGGAAAAGGTTTCTTATGCTCCTTAACCTTAAGTTATTAACATTACAGTTAATGATAACACATTGGGAACATTCTATTTCTACATAATTAATGTGTGCCTTCAGCCTATGATTTAATTTTTAGTTGGGTTTTGTAAGAAGGTTGTCTTTTCTCTAATCTGTACCCTCAAGTATCAGTGCTTTATTGCTTAATGTGCAGTCCCATGTTTGGTTTTTGCAACAAATAAAAACTCTGGTAAAGGATTTGTTTGGGTCATTTTAATATAGAACGATGTAGCATGGGTCAAGGGAGACAAAAATGATGGATCATATGGACTTACTACTTTTACCTCCTTAATAACCATTAAATTTTATTTTCCTGTCTTGTAAATCGGGAGTTAGACGAACTGCCTTGCAGTATTGTATTGCCATAATCCCTGACAGAAAAGCTTGATATGATTTCTAATTTATTGGTGTAGTTGACAGTGTTATTTGCGTTTATCAAAGTCGGCTTTGCATAACTTATTTGTATCAACTTGCATTCTCTTTATATTGAATTTTGTTCTCTTTGATGATGTTACAGCAAAGGCCTTTCCCAAGGATGATCCAACAAAAACTTGCAGATTGACTGCTTTCCTGGGTTACAAAGCTGGGATGACTCATATTGTCCGAGAAGTTGAAAAGCCTGGCTCAAGTGATTATCTTTGCTTTTTCTCGATTATCCTTCTGGATGGTTTCTCTTTTTTATCCCTAGCTTTGGTGAAGGAACTTGTTTGATATGCTGTTGCCTATAAATTTATCAAGATCATCATGTTTGATAGTGTTAGCATGCAGGGATGAGCCGTCCAGGTAGCATGTGTTTTGGACCAAACACTATAACATTAATAATGGGAGGCCAAAAACTTTTAGCCTTGTTGCCAGGGCCACCCTGAACCACCCCTTGGAATTGTCCCTGTTAGCATGTTTATATTGATTGTGATGATTTTACACTTCTTTGGCCAATAAAACATGTTTGGGTGACTTGGAATTGGGAATTGATTGGGTGTATTTATTTGAAATTGTCTGCACAATTGTAGTTTTCAGCCCTTCATTGCTGCTTCTGTTGTGCCATTTGTTTTTTGTATGTCCTTTTTGCGTATCCCTTTTTGGTGTTCTATTTTTTCTGCACATTTTTAAAGCAGCCAGAAGGAAGATTAAAATATTCATTCTAACACCATGATTCACCTCTAGCTTATGTGCTCATTAATTCTTCCCGTTCATTTGTCTTTCAGAGCTCCACAAGAAAGAAACATGTGAAGCTGTTACAATCATAGAAACACCACCCATGGTTGTTGTTGGGGTTGTTGGCTATGTCAATACTCCTGGCGGTCTCCGATCTCTGAGCACCGTATGGGCCCAGCATTTGAGCGAGGAGGTCAGAAGGAGATTCTACAAAAACTGGTGCAAGTCAAAGAAGAAGGCTTTCACAAAGTACTCCAAGAAGTACGAGTCTGAGGATGGGAAAAAGGACATTCAGGCTCAATTGGATAAACTGAAAAAGTATTGCACTGTAATTCGTGTGTTGGCACATACTCAGGTATTCCACACTAGCATCCTTGTTTTAACGAGTCTGTTTGATGAATAATAATCTTACTCTGAAATTACTGAGCTACAATAACTGGAATCCAAATACCATAAATCATTAGCAAACTTTTAATTGCTGACATCTTAATTTTTGTGTCCGTGTCTTGAATATTTTTGTTTATCTAGGCAGATACTTGATGCTCAGATGCCCCCTTGTTTGTCATTACTGTGGCACTATTTAGACTCTAGATGAATGTGATTTCAATGATATCTAAAGGTGGTATTGTTGGCATGGTTTATGTAGATTCGGAAAATGAAGGGACTGAAACAGAAGAAGGCCCATCTGATGGAGATCCAGGTCAATGGCGGGGATGTTGCCAAGAAGGTTGACTTTGCATACAGTTTCTTTGAGAAGCAGATTGCTATTGATGATATTTTCCAGAAAGATGAAATGATTGACATTATTGGTGTAACCAAGGGAAAGGGCTATGAAGGTGTGGTCACTCGTTGGGGTGTGACTCGCCTCCCTCGCAAGACTCATCGTGGTCTTCGCAAGGTAGCTTGTATTGGTGCATGGCATCCAGCTAGGGTCTCATTTACTGTTGCAAGGGCTGGGCAGAATGGTTACCATCACCGCACAGAGCTGAACAAGAAAATTTACAAGCTTGGAAAGTGTGGTCAAGAGTCTCATTCTGCAGTTACGGAATATGACAGGTAAATGTTTCTTTTTCCTAGCTTGTCCCCACTGTGATTTTAGTCCTTAGCACACCGAGATTGATTGATGTTGAGCATCTGCCTCCTCACAATATGATGATATATGGTCATGAACAACAGGACTGAAAAGGACATGACACCAATTGGAGGATTCCCTCATTATGGTGTTGTGAAGGAAGATTATTTGATGATAAAAGGATGCTGTGTGGGCCCCAAGAAACGTGTGGTAACCCTGAGACAGTCTCTGTTGAAGCAGACATCTAGAGTTGCTATGGAGGAGATTAAACTCAAGTTCATTGATACGTCCTCCAAATTTGGCCATGGACGATTCCAGACCACTGAGGAAAAGGCCAAATTTTACGGGCGGCTCAAGACTTGATTTGCAATGGAGGAGAGAATCAGCTTGGCTAGATTTCTATTACTGTTCAATAGTCGTCAACTGTTGGTTTGATTCTGGATTCACTTGTCATCCTTGTCTTCATCAATTTGGAAATTCTTAATTTTAATATATATTCGGTGCTAAATTATTATCTTAAATCGTCCTTTTTACACCTTGAGCCAAAAAAGAACTTTGTTGGAGGTTATTGTTTGAATACAGTTGTAACATTTGGTATCGTAATTTCCCAAAATCATAAGCAAATGAAATCCTAAGGGGTAATTTATTATTATTATTATATTTTGAAAATAAAAACATCCACATAATATTGCCAGTACTCTTGACAATTTTATATTTTTTGATCACCTAAAGAGAGGAACATGTCTAGAATCGGGCGAGCTCTACACATGAGCTCTAAGGGCTCAACTTTGAACATGGTCAGTGCTGTCTTCTCTGCCATGTCAATCTTGCTTTCACCAACCCTATCCCACTCAAAGCACTGTATCAACGATCCCAAAGTTAAGATCATTACTCTTTTTGCTAGGCCATCTCCAGGACAAGCTCTCCTTCCCATCCCAAAGGGGATGAACTTGGATGCATCAACTCTGGCTGCAGATTCAAATCTCTCAGGCTTGAAACTTGTGGGCTCATCCCACAGTGTAGGGTCTCTGTGGAGAGACCATGCGTTTACAAATAATATAGTCCCAGCTGGGACATGGTATCCTCCAATGGTACAGTCGGAGGATGGCATGTGCGGTGGTATAAGCGGTGTCACCGGACATAAACGCAGATTCTCGGAGATGATGCTCTGAAGGTAATGTAGTTTTGCAAAATCTGACTCTTCTATCAAGCGGTCTCCAACTTGAGCGTCCACTTCTGCTTTAGCTTTCCTTAGCACGTCTGGATGGTTGAGTAGATTGGCTAATGCCCATTCCATTGCTATAGCAGAAGTCTCTGTTCCCCCAATCAACAACACCTGCACAAAATACTTGGTGAATTATACCTAAGGATTTTACTTTGACGCCCCGGAGTTTAACTTGGGTTAGGTCAGGTTGAGAAAAAAACTTGATGAACTGACATAGCTATGTTTAATACGTTGACACAAAATTTGATGAAGCGGTGGAGAGAAAAACAGGTGGCTTTAGGCATCATTTGTGGTTTTGTTTCCCTTTTTTGTGAATGAAACTCTAAGAAATTGAAAGGGGAGATGATACCAAAAGAAATGTGAGTGAATCACAAAGAATAAACAACAACAAAAACATCATGTGTTTCCTTATCACAAGTTAAATGATTGAATCAACATAAAAA